CGGGGAGGGCAGGGGAGAGCAGTGGAGGGCAGGGAAGGGCAGGGGAGGTCAGGAGAGGGCAGGGAGGGCAGGGAGTGCAGGAGAGCCAGGAGAGGGCAGGGGAGGGCCGGGGAGGGCAGGGGAGGGCAGGGGAGGGCAGGAGAGGGCAGGAGAGGGCAGGAGAGCACAGGGCCACTTCCACCTGCCGCTCTGAGCTCCCATGGCTTGTCCCTCAGGGACAGCACTCCTCTCCGGGCCTCCGGGGCGGCCAGCGCCAGGCCCACCCTCAGCACAGCAGGGAGTGTGGGTGCCAGCCCCCAGAGGACAGTTGTCCATTTCACAATCGCCCACCACAGAGGAAGGACATGGCTGTCCCTGGTGGGACCGCTTGCCCACAGAGGCCCCCGCTGTGTGACCTCGGCCAGCGTGCTAAGCCTCTCTGTGCCAGTCTCCCACCAGTCACGTGGCACAGCGCACCCACATCCTCGGTAACAAATCTGGCCACTGGAAAGAGCAGACCCCGATGGGGACGCCCAGCATTGGCGGGTCCCAGGAGGACCGGACTTCTGCCCGGTGACGGTGACAATGCTGGCCAGACTCCTCTCAGCCTGCCTGGACGGGGCGGGACCTCAAAGTTCCCAAGGAGACTTCCCATCACCTGGGCTCTGAGCTGCAGGTGGGGGCCCACCGTGCCTGCCAGGCAGGGGCAGTGTGCACACCAACCTCACGCCTCGGCTCCTGACCGGTGCTCAGGGCCCTGCGGGTGTCCTGCCGCAGCTCAGATAGCCAACTTTCAGACAGCTCTGGGCCCGGGTCCTCCCCCCACGGCTCTGGGCCCGGGTCCTCCCCCCCTCCGCTCTGGGCCTGGGTCCTCCTCCCCCCATGACTCTGGGCCCTGGTCTGCCTTCCTGTGCTGTGCTGCCCTGCCCACACCAGCTCCCTCTCTCTCCTGGGCCCTCCCACCTCCCTCCTGGATGGGCCTGGGAGGACACAGGCCTGGCACCCCAGCCCCCGACTTGGAGTCCTGTTGAATCCCTTCTGCGGGACCCTTGTCCAAGGGAGGACAACCGCAGGTCTGGGGACACCCTCGGGGTTGGTGCTCCCGGAGGGGAGTTCTGCATGTGGGATGCCCGTGAGCCAGCCCCGAGGGCGGGAGGCGGGACCTTGCTGGCTGACGGTGCCTGCAGACTTGTCTAAGCTGGGCAGGCCCCAGGTCTCTGCCGCACACCCTCTGCCTGCCCGGACCTAGCAGGTGCCCGGCTGTGTCTCCCAGGTCCCTCCAGGAGGGAGGCAGGAGGGCCTGAGGAGAGACGGGAACCCTGCACACTGCCCTGAAGTGGGGGGGACAAAGCTGAGGGGTGTGGGCACTGCCAGAGCCCCAGCCATGCCAGACCCAGCCCACCGAGGCCTGATGGGACCCCCCAGCCTAGAGCTCTAGGGCGGTAGACATGTCTAAGCCCTGAGCCTGGGCATTGGGGGCCCAGGAACGCGGGGGTGCCACAGACTGGGCAAACATGGCTGTGGTCCCGCGCCACCCCTTACCCAGTTCTGCCCCCACAGCCTCTACAGACTGAGGGAGCACCCCGCTCGAGGTCCCTCGTAGCCCCCCTGCTGCAGTGCGGCCACACTCGGCAAGGTGTGGGTGCATGGGTGAAGCTGTCTGTGGGTGGGCTGCAGGTCTGGGGTGCTCCAGCCACACGCCCCACTCCTGCAGCTCTGCAGCAGGAACCTCAGCACCTTCTGGGTGGCCCCAGGCGCTCACACCCTGCACTCCGAGCCCACCGGCAGGTCTTCAGCACCAGATGGGCCCTACCCGCCCTGTGGCACCTGGTGGGACACCCACCTGCAGGTGCTGGGGCAGGAGGGAGAATGCCGTGCCCCAGCTGCTTGGGCCCGTCTCACTGTCATCGTCCCCCTGTCTCTCCCTCCCCGTATCACTGTCTCTGCCTCTTCCCATCTCTCTGCCTCTTGGGTCTCTCTATCTCTATCTATCCATCTCTCTGCCTCTTGGGTCCTTCTGTCTCTGTCTCTCCCCATATCTCTGCCTCTCAGATTTCTGTCTCTGCCTCTCCCTGTATCTCTGCCTCTCAGATCTCTGTCTCTGCCTCTCCCTGTATCTCTGCCTCTCAGATCTCTGTCTCTGCCTCTCCCTGTATCTCTGCCTCTCAGATCTCTGTCTCTGCCTCTCCCTGTATCTCTGCCTCTCAGATCTCTGTCTCTGCCTCTCCCCATATCTCTGCCTCTCAGATCTCTGTCTCTGCCTCTCCCTGTATCTCTCTCTGCCTCTCAGATCTCTGTCTCCACTTCTCCCCGTATCTCTGCCTCTCAGATCTCTGTCTCCACCTCTCCCT